TTACGTTACTTACGTTACGTTCTACTACTTACGTCTTCTACTTCTCTTCTACTCTCTCTCTCTCTCTCTCTCTCTCTCTCTCTCTCTCTCTCTCTCTCTCTCTCTCTCTCTCTCTCTCTCTCTCTCTCTCTCTCTCTCTCTCTCTCTCTCTCTCTCTCTCTCTCTCTCTCTCTCTCTCTCTCTCTCTCTCTCTCGCTCTTTCTCTCTCTCTCTCTCCCTCCCCCTTTCCTTCCCTCTCCCTCTCCCTCTCCCTCTCTCTCTCCCTCTCCCTCTCCCTCTCCCTCGCTCTCTCTCTGCGATAAAAAAATGGATATTTAAAAATAGGATTTTAAACATGTGTGAATTATTTAAATAACATCATTAAGTTAATGGTCTTTTTTTCCAGACTGGGGAGTGGTCACAATGGAGAAACTTCTTCCTGGTGATTTTATTGTGGAATACCGTGGCCAGATGACAGATAAAGAGCGTGACGGGGATTATGTTTATGAGTTCAGCTGGAAGAACAAGAGCTTCTGGTTAGTATGAAATGATGTGAATATGTTATATCCTCTCAGCATTTGTAAACAGCAATGTTTTCCATAAGAGCCGGTCGCCGGCTGATTTGATGTCCTCAATTGATTTTTGGGTGGGTTCAAATCATTCTTACAAAACAGTTTTTTGTATTTGAAGATCTTGAATGCTAATGGACAACCTTCAAATTGCACCAGCTACATTTATGATCACAAATTCTCTCAAATGTGGGCGACCTCCTCGTATTGGTTTTATGTTGAACATGTAATAGCGTATTCATTGTAGACTTCAACTATATTATATTAAAGGATTGATGCTTCTGAGGATAGCATTTTTTTAGCTCATCTGACATAGTCAGATGTAGCTTGTAGAATCGCATGGGCATGCTAGTGCAGCAGATAACCACAACAATTGTGCATTTTATGAGAAAAGCATGAAATTTCTAGCATAGTTAGTATATACCATGATGTTTATTTTAAGATGTGGAGGGAAGTCAGATTTGACCTCTGAAGACCGTGAGAGGTCAAATCCAAGATGGCCGCCAGTCCACCGTGTCTTAATGTTCAAACGCGCTTAATTTTGGAACCAAACAGCGTAGAAAAACATTTAAGGTGTCGATTCCAACTAAATTGGGGATGACCATTCATTTGGTGATACCTTTGAGATCGCTAGAACTCAAGGACAGGCATTTAGGCCAAGGTCAAGGTCGAATTACGTTCAAAAAGTCAAATATCCTATTTTCAAATATCCTATTGGTAATGTTCAAAACAGAACAGAACACACACAGCACAGTCACACACAAGCAGCACACAGCACACAGCACAGCACAGAGCAGCTTTGGCACACTTGCAGCGTCCAGTGCATGCTTTCTCGCAGCGACAGTGGATCAATTCATGGCACGATTTTGCTGCTTTAGCCTAGGGAGAGTGGTCCAAAGAGGCTGCCACCCAGTTGTTTCCTTTGTCCAGCCCCAGTCAGATGGTTCTGGAATCTCTGGATCCATGACCAATGCCTGGTTCCAACAGTTGGCCTGGTAGCAAGAGCGCTTGATGTGCGGCCTGGGTTGGAGGATTGTTCTCTAGAGTTCTAGACTTCTGTGTGAAGAGCTGTTTCCTGGCATCATTCACTTCCGTGCTCTCACTGGTTTGGTCATACAGCAGCACCACAAAACGCTCTAGCAATAACATGATCACCTTCATCGCGCTGACGCTCACTCGGCATGCATAGGGAGTCACTGAATAGCAGTCATTCACTTGGGAAAGAACTTTCCAAAGGTTTTCCCAAGGCAGTCTTCTTTCTCTGCCAGCGAATGCCAGATAACAGTGCACATCCGGTTGATACAGCGCTGAAAGGACTGGGAGAGTGCAGACAGGGCTGTGTTTGGATTCATTGTGGCAAAGCATTTCGTAAAAGCCTATGTACGAAACGCTTGTAGCCAACACCAAAGCGCCCACCAAACAGGCTCATCAGGAGCTATCTTGCAAGAATGAGCACAAGCCAGTACCGCACCACATCAGTATCAAGTACTTATGGTCACCCTTGCCACAGCAATCTGGCCACTATGCAGAAGTAGACAAGTGTCATCCCTCCTGCTTGTGAAACATGGGCAAGGCGGCCAATGATGGACTCGACAGGAGAGCAACAGGACCCCCCGACTTCAAACTGTTTGCAATACAGTTCCTTGGCCTTGCTGCACTAGATGAATGTGAACAGCCCTCGCGTGACAGCGAAAGCAAATAATTGTCGGTTTTTTCTCAATTCGACTCGAATGCGAAGTTTCAAGTTCTTTGCATCACAGATAGAGATGCCGAGGACACCCTTTTCCTGATGGCCCTTTCCCTATTCTGTTCTGAAGTGAGGCTGTTCAGGCTGCGCAGGCTAGCGTAATGACATCCCAGACAAGCGGTCGATGCGGCTGCCATTTCTCCGAGCTTTCAGCGCAGAGATTAGTCGGTGGCGAAACACTCTCTTTTGCATTACTCTCTTTAAATGTTCTTGAGTCCCAGGATAGCATTTGAAAACCGGCACAGCTGCACCATCGAAAATTTTGGGCATCAGCCACAGGCACGCCTATTGCTTTGTCGAGGCAAGATCTGGATTCCAGCCAGCTGAAGTAGATCTGGCTTTAACCCCAAACCGCATTTTATCCTCCAGTTACAAGGAAGCTGGCGGCGGGCTGCCTTGGTTTCCATGGAGAAGAAATTGTGATGTTTCATCTCGAGTTTTGACCCAGAGAGTGAGACAGCGCCTCGCAAAAGACCAGTCACTCTTCAGCCTGCAGGCAAGCTGTGCCTTCCTGTTTGCGACTTAATCTTGACGGCGTGGCTTCTGAAAAAGCTGTCAATTGTTTCTTTGGCAAGTGTCTGTGTGACAGTGTCGTACCAAGCTGTTTCTAACCTTTCTGTCACAAGACTATAGTGTACCGGCTTCTCACCAGGCACGGTCTCAATCTTTCTCACAGCTTTCAAGGCCCACTTGGGTGTCCATATGATGTCCCTTCGTGTTAATGACGAGTAGGTCTTGGCCGATTCTAGAAATGAATTTCCCATCTCTTTCAGCACTGTCACAAGTGCCTTAACCTCCTTCGAGGAATGCTGGCTTGCACTCCAGGTGCTGGTCATGGTGTAAGGGTGTCAGTGATCAACAGCCTCACCCTGTTGGCTTATGGCCTGTTCCTCAAAACTCCTGTAGTAATCCCTGGCAATTTCTGGCCTTGCTACCATCCAGCGTCTGAGTGCTCCTGGATTGCCTGTCAGTCCTATAGCCCCCACAGAACCTTTCAACCATTTGCATTGTTTTGCTCATGGAACTGGTCAAGTGCCATAGCAGAAAACTTGTTGCTGGTTTTGTGCACACGAAGTTTCCAGACTTGAATTCTGCTAGGCACATCTGGTGTTTTTCAGCAAGAGTCGTCCAGGCACGATGTGTCCAGGAAGCCACCTGGAGTAGTGCGTGTGATCTAGGGCAAAACATCCAGGCCTGATCTGCGTCAGGGATTTCACGTACAGGATGGAAGTTCCCTTCAGCGAAGTGACCTGATATACCGCAGCAAAGAAAGCACCAATGACAGGGCTTATGCCAGTGAAGCAAGATGGACACTGGCGTAGGCACCACTCCTCAAAGACGGACTATCTGCGTACATGGCATCAGTATTCATCAGATGTGCAGTCTTCATTGTAAGCTTGTTGGAGGAATTGTATAAAGCTCCCGCTGTGACTTGGTGTACATGGCTGTCTTGGTGAACTGCTCGCATGTATGAAGGAATTTGCTGTTCCGAAACTTGCAATGTCAGCCTTACGCAAAGGCGTTCGTCAACCACTGTCTTCCAGCCAGTCTCCCAGCAACTTCAACATTGCCATCTGCGATTGTGTAGACCACCGAAACATGATCACAAAGGTGATCCTCTCTGTGAGTGGCTGGGCCCAGTCCACTGGACTTCCTTAGCAAGAGCATACAGTGGTGTCAACAGCAAGGAACAGAATCTGGCCAGGGTTCAAGTGCTGGCAACTTGAAAAGATCATCAAATATATGGGAATCTTAATATTATTTTGAAATTACATCTCTGGGTGTTTATTTGCAAATTTCAACCGATTTCTTATTTCTTATTTCATATTTACGAGCGTGGAGTCATGCAGGTCGCAGACAGGTCCAAGTCAGTGATGTCCGCACAACGGTAGCAGCAAGTAGGGCTTCAAGGGTCGTTGTCGTAAACAGTACTACAGATATGTACCGCGAGGTACATATATGTATAGCACAAGAAGTGTACCACACTTGTACTACAGAACAGTGTACCACTAACCCTAACACTAAGCCTAACCCTAACCACTAACCGCTTATCCCTAAACTCAACGCCTACACCCTAACCCTAAACATACCTCATATAAAAATATAAACATAATACTAAACAACCTAAACCTACCTCGGGTACATATCTGTAGTACCTGTTACGACAACGACCCTTCGTGCGTTACTCTAGCATTCGTTAAAATTGCATAATCGATGGGCCTATTATGCCTTTAAGCCTAACTGAAAAAGTTATGGACGGATTGTCGTAAAATTTTCAGGATACGTCAGAAATGGGCTAACTTAGAATTGATGAGATTTTGGTGGTGATCCGGATCCAATTGATTAATTAATTCATTCATTAATTAATAAAATTTTCAGGATAGGTCAGAAATGAGGTAACTTAGAATTGATTACATTTTGGTGGTGATCCGGATCCAATTAATTATTTAATTAATTAATTAATAAATTAATTAATTTTTCCACTTAATTAATAAAAAAATTCACATTGAGAGAATTCAGCTGCCTTGGCAGTTGGAGGTCTGTGCTCTCCGAGTGCTCTAGTTTACGTATGTTTTCAGTAAATAATGGGGGTCACCGCGTTACTAACCGACAGATGGCGCACGTGTCTGAGTAGCCCTAGCCCTACCGCTGACTGCACTGTTTACTTCTGCATTCTTGACAAACATTTTATTAAACATCAAAGTTAATCATCATGACAGATAAATACGGGGCATGGACAGTACCAAGAATAAAAGAGGAGTTGAGTCGTCGGGGTGCAGTGACGTCTGGGAGAAAAATCGACCTTATTGAAAGGTAATTATTGATAAGCATGTTCAATGTTGTGTTTTCATAACTCACTGTAGGGCCTACTGTACTAGTCTGTAAACATCGCCAGTGAGCAAATGTTAGAATTTAGAATACTATCTAACGATCAGAATCACTCAGTCATAATTTGGATTTTATTTTAGATAGTATAGGTTTCGTAATATATGATAACTGCCGTAGTTACTTATACTTAGTAGAGATATGATTCTGTTTGGCAGATAACTCTGTCACAAGTGACAAATTTTGTCCGATTGGCTAAAAAAAAACATCTTTCTTCTCATGAAGTTTCTCATCTGTCGTTATGTTCCATTTCTTTAAGTGAGATTTGTTTTAGTCTCTAGATTGGAGACAAATGACATTAATCATATATATTTTAAAGCACATGTCTGCTGATTATTTTTCAGATTTGAGGCGTATGATCATAACCTAGATTTTAGGGGACCAGTAATTCATATGCCAAAGGAACCAGTTCCAGAATGGCCAACCTATGGATTCAAACAACTTACTGCAGACCATAGGATTTTTGTTCCGAAACTCACTGATGAGATGGTGCAGGCCTATTTCACTTATAGAATGGCCATGGACAATGAATTTACTAGGGATATCAAAGCGATTTAGAAGGGAAGGCAGTTAATCGAGTCTATGCGGATCAAGGCATGTAGTGTGCTTGTCAAGGATGGGTCAGTTTTTCTATCTGGTCTTGTTGGTGCTGCAATGAAAAAGAAGGTATACCTGTGAAATTTTTGTTTTCTTAATAAATCTTGCCTTTTTATAGCATTACTCGTCATTATTATAATACTACTCAACATTTCCTTTTCCCATGCTGAAGTTACATGAGTTAATAACAATATGAATAACTGAGGCATACAGACATATACAAATATTCTTGAGTTTTTGAAATTATATTGCAGGTATCATATGCATATAAGCTGCGACTCTGTAAAGAAACGGGAGAATTTTTGAACAGCCACTGCGAGTGTCCTGCGGGTAAAGGCCCTAATGCTACATGCAAACATGTTGCTGCTGTTATGCTCATGCTGGCCAAATTTGTTTCATCCGACTGTGATCCTTTAATACGAAAAACCTGCACAGAGAATCTCCAGTCATTCCACCGACCTAAATCAGTCTACAGCGGTATGTAAAAAATCAGACTAATTTAGAAAAAAAATCCTTTAATATCCTTATTAGTTTAGTTCTATTTTCTGTCGTGGGAGGTATCCATTTCATAAATTAAGTGGAATATTTGCTTAAATTGTGCACATGACACTGATTTTTTCAAAAATTTATTTGAATCCTTATATGTTTAAAACTTCACTGATCTACATGTACTAAAAAGGGCTTATTCATTGATAAGTAAATCTTTAAGCACTAGATCTAGTTCTGCTGAAACACAGTTCTTGAATATTTTGTTTTAATTTTCGAGAGAACAAGGTGATTGTCAGTTGACAAAGCTACCTGCTATTGCACTGAAGTCTGTTGGCTGGAAATTATATCAAGGACTGATGTTTTAAAATTTTCTGCTTTAAAAGTTTCTCCTGTGAAGGCTGTCGATCTACCTGTTCAGAAAAAGCGCAAGATCGACATGGAAGACCCTATACCAGCTAAATACAGAAAATGTAGTGGATATGAGGATCGTGTTCGCAGTGTTGTGTTAAATTATTGTTCAATGTCATCACAGGATTTAGTAATCAAGTACAAATATGAAAAAGCGGACATCTACACAGCAGCGAAAGACCATCATTATATGAAAAAACCTTTACTGGAATGCTGGGTAGAAAATGCATCAAAGGTAACTTTTACCGCACATTAAGTCATTTTGATATAAATATTCTGATAATAGTCTCATATCTATTGAGTAAGGAATCTTTATACCAATGTTATTGGTGGGCAAGGATTTTTCTGTGTTATATGAGAATTGGTCTCATAAAGAGTCCCTGTAAAACTTTTAGTTGGCCAGGTATTATATAATGCTGCAGTCAAGCATCATATGTTCCAGGAGTTGTTGTTATGTGATAAAAAATGCAACACACTTATCAGTGCTTATGGTGCTCTATGGATTTTTCCAAGCTTTCTTTTTGTCTCATTTCAGCTAGATGATTCTCAAGCCAAAATGCTAGAAAAAAACACCAGGAAACAGGCCGATTCTAGTCTTTGGTTTCAAGAGAGACGGCTACGCATTACGGCGTCACGTTTTGGAGAAGTTGTTTCCCTGACTAAACGACGAAATATAGAAAAACTTTGCAAGTCATTGAATAGCAATGTACAACTCCACACAGCTGCAATAAGCCACGGAAAGACATTTGAAAGTAAAGCTATCACTGCATTTGAGCAGAAGTTTTCTATGAAAGTTCAGGCATGTGGACTACATGTTCGACCTGATCTTTATTACTTAAGGGCAAGCCCTGATGGACTGATTGGTGATAATGCTCTTCTTGAGGTCAAATGCCCATACCGTGGAAGGGATAAACTTGTTGCTTCCGATTTATCTTTTAAATTTCTGTGTGAGAAAGATGGAAAGATCCAATTAAAGCGGACTCATAATTACTTCGATCAAATTCAAGGCCAGCTTCACGTCTGTAAACGATCACTATGCTATTTTGTTGTTTACACTCACAAGGATCTTTACGTTGAAGAGATTTCATATGATAGAAAATATTGTGAATTGTCACTCATTCCAAAGTTAGAGATTTTTTATCAGAAATATTATTTAGATTACTTGGCGAGACATTCATTCTAACTGAAAACCCACTGGTTAAATTTTCATAACTGTAAGCTTTCATTAGAAATTACATTATGGTGCAATGCGTGATGCACGGAAATACTTACTTAGCAGCATTAATTAACTTGTGAAATTGTGTGACTTTATTATCATATGAATGGAATTTAAATACGCGACTTCGGAGATGCCGTGTTATTTCTCGTGCTTGGGATATGCCGTATCTCCCAAGTTGCTATTTGTACCGTGAGAACACAATACAGCAGTTATCGAAACCACGAATCATATCAATCATTTCAGTGTGGCCCCGATTACTCATGGAGCTTTGTTAAACTAGCGATATCATGTTGAATCCGACACCAAAAAGCGAAATATGTGAGTTCTCAAGTCGCGAAAAATGTTTATTTTAACATCGAAATATGCTTTATTTAAACACATGTTTGTTGTTTTATGCTAAGCTATTTACAATTGCGGGCCGGAAATTAGAGATCATAAAACAGACAAAGATCAGTGCTCGAAATAAGCGTTGTCCGGTTGTCCGAGACAACCAGAATTTGCGCTGGACAACCTAACCAGTCTGAGACATTGTCCGGTGGACAACCAAGAAACACTATCCCTAACCCTAACACCGACTCTAAACCGACTCGGCTATCTTATATATACGCGTGGTACGCAATTAATCTATGGTGTATAACCTTTTGCTTTCAATATTTTGCATCTGAACTGACAATCAATCCCAACCAACTGGTGTAGGCTAGCTGGCACAATAATGTTCAGTTTCATACTTCAAATCCGAGTGTTTTCTAGCTCATCAAGAAATCTTAATCGTGAATTAAAGCAGGTGAATAATATAAAAATATGGGACCAGCCTGCTATTTCCAAACACTGGTATATGTCAGGTTTTCTGATTTATGAGAGGTGAACTCGATTTTGGAACCAGCAAACCAGCAAGTTCTAAAATTTTCTGGGGAGGACCCCCTACCCCCCCCCCCTCTATGCCTGTTTCACCACTGTTTTGCCTTGAAATTCCTAAACCCGCCACTGAACAATTACATATCTTGGAGCAAGAGACAATGAAAAAAATGTCGCCTTTTCGCATGGCGCCCAAAACAAAGATTGCAGAACTGAGAGGTAGAGGAGCCGTAGGGTGTGGAAGGGGAGCGGAGGAGCCAGTAAATATTAATGTTATCCACTATTTGCGCAGTTCGCTGTTTTTTGGCCCCCCCTCAGGGTCTCCCCAGGATTGAAATTCAAACAGGGGGAGGGAGGGTAGCGGGGGAGGGGAGAGGCCGGAGGAAAACTAGGGGAGGGGGGAGGGGGGAAACTAGGGGGGTCCGGGGGGCGTGATTTTTTACCGTACGACTAATTAATGCGTAAAATCGCCACCACACCATTAGAGTCATAACGGTATTTGGGCGTTCTTTGGCTATAATAAGACTAGCCGAGTCGGTGTACAGCAAAGGTTAACTGTGCATTGTCAGTTTAACTTGTGTACTGTCTGCAGTGCATGCGTGGTACGGTAAAAATACACGCGTCGGATGTCCTGGTCGAACGGCAATTCTTGACGATCGATTCCCGCGCTGGCAAACTTTTATTGTGGTGGAATTTAAACGGGGCGGAGGTAATTTAAATGGTGCGCAACGATTCAAACAGGGGGGACCGCGCGCGCCCCGTTTGCGCAACGTAGGGAGAACCCTGCCCCTTGTTAAAAAATCCTGGCTACGCCACTGTTTTTGGGTGTTTTCTGATCATATTATTATGTGATTGAAAATAGGAGATTTGGGAATATTTTTTGGGACAACCAGAAATTGTTGCGGACAACCCGATTTGATGCCGGGGTTGTCCGCAGGAAAACCACATTTTTGTTCTTATTTCGAGCACTGCAAAGATTATTCTAGAACCCAGGTTCACTTTCCCCAGAGTAAGGTCTTTTTTAAGTATTTGAAATGTTTTAGAAAGGCCTATCATCCTTTCTACATGGATTCTCTTGCTAGCGACTCTGCGATCATGGACTACTTGCTCCGGTTCCAATTGACTTTTCCCTTTTAACATTGTCGGGGTATTCAGCTTAATGTTTTTGGGTGCAAAAAGATCCTGGACCATAATACCCCGATCCGCCATGATGCTGTCATTCGATTCAAAGAAATCTGATGTATGTGAACAGAGCTTTGACCGTTCGATGATTTGCCGGTCACTTGTTGACCCTGCATAGCTTTCACTCAAGTAACTAACTATGCCCCTCGGAGTGATGCCGACCATAGTTTTAAGAGTGTTTTTATGTTTATAAGTGCTAAATGTCGCACTTTGTGAAAGTACATTAGATGGCTTTTTTGATTGGTGTTTCTGTAGCATCAAGTATCACTCTTGTAGATGGAAAGTGATGTTTAAAGCCACTCGGCATGAAAGAGTCTATCTCTTTTCTATCTGGCCAGGTATTAATTTCGCTTAATTGGAAAAACATAAAGTTTATCCAAGTTATGGCTATCTTCGAAACAACACTCCCTGATACACCAAATAAAATACTAAGCTCTATATCTTCCTTTGCTCGTCTTAATTTTACCAATGTTAAGAACAATTGATTCATGGGCGTTAATTTCTGACACTTGTAATTTAAATCATTTGCAGCAGGACCAAGCACATTGTAAAACATTAGTAAATGTTCATAATCCCTGAACCCAGTATAATAATTAATTGACCTAGGGTCATTCATAAACCTTTCAATACTAAACAGTTGCTCAGTTAGCAGGGAACATTGTGTACTTTCATCTGCATGGGTGCTTGGTAGTCCGTCCTTAACCTCGAGGTTCATAATATCATTGGGATAGGATGATTCTATGACAACCTCATTGGCAACATCATCAGCATTAGCTGCTATCTCCATTTTAAGTCGGCGGTGAGTGGCTCTACTTTCTCTTTCCCTTGACTTCAAGGGATTTTTCTCATTTGATGTGAAAGCAAACACACTTGGTACGACATTTTCACACAATTTTTTTCTTGACCCTTAAATATACGGAAAGAACATTTTATTAGTTATTTCCTAAATATGGTACGTTCCAGTCGGCGGCGAGTGGCCATTTAATCTACATAATTAATACCAGTAAGCGTACCAGTAAGCGTACCAGAACATACCAGTAAGCGTCTCTTTGTAGTCTGTTGGTAGAAAATGCTGGTGGCAATTGAGCCCTCCGTGGGTTGCCATAATTTTGTTGGTTTCCCAATAGATTCAAGCCTTCTTATTGCTACCAACCACTTTGTTCTCAATTCTTTGTCTATGGGAAACTTGCATCCACCAACTCTCGACTTGCAAAGAGGGACACAACAATAGCGTGGCATTATAATCGCATAAATAGAGCCCTTTTATTTTATATTATTCTGCTATTCACTAGCCAGCCAGAAAGTAAACACAGGCTACTCAGGGGCTACTCACACACGCGCGCCATCTGACGGCCGCTTCCAGTGCGGTGACTCCATAGAGTTGTATAAATATGAGAACAGACCACTATTAAATTCTCCATAGGATCCTATACTTAAGAATTGAATTTCAGGAGCTGAAAAATTGTATTTCGGTCGTTTTCGGCCGAGTGGCAATATTAAAGCTAGGTAGCCATGTACTTCAGCTGTGCACCATTAGAATTATGACATATGTTGTCCGGCGTTTTTAAAAAATATCGCATATTTACTAATCGACACCACATTTGTGCCTGAAAAACAGTCGCGCAGTCGAATGGGGGTACAATTGAAAGAATTCGTTTTATATACCAGTAACATCCACCCATCTCCATGTGCATGTCATTGACACACACGATAGCCAGCGCTAAATTAATGCAGCCACAAAACGTCGCGTCAGCTTTAGTGCACCGAGCTGCGGGCACTCCGTATTGGTCGGCCGATGACGCGTCACATCCTCTAACCTAACAGGGTAATGAACCGGTAGTGATTTAATAGTGGTTCACGTGGTCTGTATAGAAACGGTTTTTTCTCGGATCTGTCAAACGCATAAATTGCGCGGACAAACCCGCTGCCACACGGTCGTGCACAATCTTGTGTAATTCCGGCTGTTCTGGTTTTGAGTTTTGGCGAGTTTCTTCGACCCCACGCCTCCGGCTGCAAGGCGATTTCGGTGCCCCTGCTTTGCGGAATGCAAGTCCGGTGGCATAGTTCGGTGAGTAGTCGGCTAGAGTTGAAATAGAATCATTTATGAAGAAAATTGCAGTCACCTATGCGAAACTTGATATTCTATTGAGATCAATAAAAAAAATTTTAAAAAATCGACGTCGATTTCGATTTTTTCGGTCATTTCGAATGCCCATGATCAGACATAAAAAACGGCTTGTCATTTTGCATGGATTGAATATTTCTGAAATAAAAGGCTTTTTTCTGAAATTTGTTGCTAAACGCACGGCACGTGTGTTTGTTGGATTTGGTTGCTCTTGCCAAAATTAGCACTCGGAAGCAATCGCGTATTTTTTATAGCATTAAAGCGACCTGGTGGGAATTGTACACCAGGGGCGCTATACATCATAGTTGTCTGAATTAAGTATATTGGGTAAAGC